CCTGTCATTACAAGTCACAGACCTATGATACCAATACAGCAAGGAGTAAGCGTGCTTGTAAAAATGGTGGCTTAAAATCTAGGTCCTTCAGTGGATATATAAGTCACCAGAGACATCATCAGTGGCAAGGAAATCAAGAATAAAATCATAGAAGTGGTCATACTTATATAAATATAAGTGCTTATATATATATATATAAGGAGGTACAGTGGAGTAATAGGTAGCAGCTTGGATTGAAGAATCGCAAAGCCGATTTCGAATTCCAGTCAAATCCATTATATTCAATTACATGCTAATACCCTTGGGAAAGGTGTGAATCCTCTTCTTCTTCCCCCAGCTATGGGTAAATAGCTGGACAGACTGATTTCTATAGCCTTGGATGTCAACTGGTCTACCACAGAAAGAAATGGCAACCTACTGTGGGAAAAAAATCTGTCCTGTGAAAGAAACATGATTGCCTAAGCATGTATCACACATGGCACATGACTGACTGACTCTTGGGAAAGATATGAATCCTCTTCTCTCCCCCTACACCCAGCTATGGGAAAATAGCTGGACAGACCGGGTTCTATAGTTTTGGGTGGCAACTGGCCTACCACAGAAAGAAATGGCAACCTACTGCCTGAAAAAATCTGCCTCATCAGTCATGTATAGAAAGATAAATGATTGCCTAAGCATGTATCATGCATGGCACATAACTGACTGACTCATATATATATATATATATATATATATATATATATATATATATATATATATATATATAGAACTTATATTTGTACAATATTTTTATGTATACAGGATATTGCCATATTGCATCAAAATAGCAGTTTGTATCCAATCACATAAATTAAACAGTGCTGAGCCTATTCAGTACCTAAACGGATGACCACTCGGGAATACCAGGTGTTATAAGCTTGAATCTATGGTTAGTGTGATGGATAATGTCTTGTATTGAGAAATCAGAGAGTTCAAATTCTGTTCAAATTTGTTACATTTGTTTCCATACAAATACCTTTGGGAAAGGTATGAATCTACTTCTTCTCTCCCAGCTATGGGCTAAATAGCAGGACAGACTGGGCCCTATACCCTTGGTTGGTAACCAGCCTACTGAAGAAATTAATAGCAGCCTACTGCAGAAATTCTTCTGTCAAGCTAATCATGAATCAAAATGAGACATGATCACCCAAGCATGTATTATACTTGTCAACTAAGGAAGGAAGGATATAGGATAAGGCTTATCAAACTTTATACTTCATAACCTTCAGTCTTATTCACTAATCTTTGAAGTAAACAAACAAGTGATAGGCGTGCAAATCTTTATGACACTTATTTATTTATAAATGTTTTTTGGCCCTTATCTTCAAAAGGACAGATATTGATTGCAGCACAAAAGCTATGATTTATTTTAAAGGTCCATAAAAGATTGAAAATGTTACTTTATCTTGTTTTATGCTCAAATGTTGTCAGTGCTTCTCTATTTATGTTTCATTAAACATTTAGTGAAGTGGGAAGTGCACATTAATGGACATAGTTGGAGGTGGTTTGGTTCTGAGAAATGGGCTTGACCCTTTTAAAGATTAAGGAATTGAAGACTTTTGATCTGCTCATTGTGTAGAGAAATAATGTTTCTTTTTGTGTGATAATAACTGATTGGCTTTCTATTACTGTCCATGTGTATAGATTCATTGATTTCTTGTAGCACCCTGTGTGCAAAAAATCAATATCCCTAGAAAATATTTCTTTTAGTAACTGGGGAATGTCCATCTGCTTTTATTTGCAGTGAGAACTTTTTATCATTCAACAAATTTGATAACATTACTTTTTTAATTTCAATTTTCAGCACATTTTTTTTTTTTATTAATATTGTCAACATTTTTGTTAGAATTATTTTTTGAACAAAGCAAATTTGTCTAATTTTTCCAGGCTTCAAGTTTTATCATTGTTTTTTAACAAGATTTATTAATGTCTTTTAACACAACACATTTCTCTAATTTTTTCAGGCTTCATGTTTTATTGTTGTTTTTAACAAAATACATTTGTCTATTTTTTTTTTTTTCAGGCTTCATGTTTTATTATTGTTTTTAACAAAACGCTTTTTTTCAATTTTTTTCTGAGTTCAAGTTTTATCATTGTTTTTAACACAACACTTTCAGACAAATGTTATTCTTTTTTTTGGGAGAAAAAATTTTGCCTAAATTTTTAGGTTTCATGTTTTATTATTGTTTTTCATTATGAAACATATTTGTCTATTTTATTCAGTCATCAATTTTTATTAATGCTTTTTGACAGAACAAATTTCTCAGATTTTTTCAGGTTTCATTTTTATTATTGTATTTTAACAGAGACTTTTTCAGGTTTCAAGTTTTAATATTGTTTTTTTTTAATATAACATTTGCAGCAATTTCTTTATGCCCTGAATTTTAAAAAGTCTCATTTCTCTTTTAGATGTCTCAAGTGAATTAACATGGCAGCTCCCAGTCTGATATGGGAAATATAAAGCTGCCATACTTGTACTGGTCAGGAATATTTAATAATATAAATAGTGTGTGCATTGGATACATTGGAGTTTCCTCAAACAAAGAGTAAAATAAATATATAAACAATTATACTATTTATATTTGGACTACTGTCCTCATCTTTCTTGTACTTATCACAAAATTTCAGCCATTATACCCTGTGGCCATCCACAAGTGGACAATGATCTGGGTAAATTAAGGGAGTTCTATACTGAACCCATTTTAGACTAATCTTGTTCCTCTGCCCATGTCTATGGATATCATCTAGTTGTTATTTTGAGTAGTGTTCAGTTATTGCTTGCCTGTTTCTCTGTTCAAGTACACATTGTCCAACCCAGGGTTTGAACTCATAGACACCATGTTACCAAATTCACAAACCAGTTCTTAAACCCACTAGGCCATTGTCCTTGAGAATTTTCTTCATCACATTACCCTACTAGTTGTCCTGATTTGAATCTCCTGGACTATTATGCCTGGGGGTTTGTTGAGAAGGAGTCCAACTAGCAACAACACAATAATGATTGAAGTCAACACCCAGTGGCAACAGTCTGTTTCGTGATTATACACAATCATCAGGCTATATGCGTTGTGTTTTTGCTTGACTATTTATATATACAGGTCAGTGATGCATTGTGGGTAGTCTGTTGGTATTGTTCTAATGGTTATTTTGGTAGACTATGTTTCGAATTATTCTAGAGGCTATTGGATAGAAATAATTGTGGATCTGAATGCAGTTTTCTGGCTATTTATAGTTTTTTGCTAACTCTTTTATTTATTATTGATTGTTTTATTGCTGGTTGTTATTATTACATTTACTCGGGTTTATGTGTACATTCATGATTTGTTAATTTGTTCATTATTTACATTACCACCCAACAAAATAAATGTTAAAACAATAAATAGCAAATATGTGAGCAATGACATATATAGAACGTAAAAGAAGAAGCAGCCCACCACATCTACAGATATAATACATAAAAGACTCATAATGCATCACTGACCTGTATATAAAACTAGTCAAGAAAAAATACAATGCATATGGCTTGACAATTGGGTATAAGTATGAAACAGACTCTCATTGTTGGGTGTTGACTTCAAAGTCCATTTTTATATTTACATATGCTCTCTCTCTCTCTCTCTCTATATATATATATATATATATATATATATATATAATGTTTCATGCTTAAAGCATGAAAGAGACTGTCACCTCTGGGTGTTGACTTCAAATTTATTTTTATATTTACATATGCTCCATCTCTGATATTGAGCACTTTAAGTCATAAATATAGCATACCTTAAAACTATATTTTATCATATATATATATATATATATATATATATATATATATTACAGTGACTATATTTATGTACCTAACATCAATATTATTTTATAGTAATACATGTAAATGTGTATACACTTACATATATAAACACACATTATAAAATTAATAATTGTTTTCATAATGAAGAAGCAGTGTTTGCATGCTATTACATGTGTTTGATCCACATGATACTATATGTCAGTCAGTCAATTATGTGCCATGCGTGATAGACACTTAGGCAATCTGCATCTTTCGATACATGACTGATGAAGCAAATTTTTTTACACAGTAGGTTGCCATTTCTTTCTGCAGTAGACCTGTTGCTATAGAACCCGGTCTGTTCTGCTATTTACCGATAGCTGGGGGGAGTAGAAAAGGATTTATACCTTTCCCAAGGTTATTAGCACATAAGTGAATACAAATTATTCGACTGGAATTTGAACTTGGCTCTCTGATTCCTCAATCCGAGCCGCTATCTATTACTCTACCGTGCCTCCCCCTATATACTATATCACTGGATATATAATATGTGACAATATTGTATATGACAATATGCTTTATAAGTTTAAGGAATATTGATAATCAATTTAATTGAATTTATTTCTTATAACACACGCACACACACAAAACTATCAGCATATGTGTCTTTGTTTCTCTTCCTGTCTGTCTATAAAATTCCAACAATTCAATATCTCACTAAGTCTAAATCATGAAGCACCTCTGAAAGAATTATCCTTATTCTTGCTATATTATTAACACTGGAGAATGGTCCAAAATTATGAGAGAAATATTTATTTAATGAAAAAGACTTAATACATATGATCAACATTGGGAATGAGTTCAAAATTGAGACAAGTATTTACTTTATTAAAAAATCTTTGATTCATTTTCTATGGCTTATTAACACTTTGTGAGCTATTAAAAGTAAGAAAATATTTTTAAATTATAAGAATTTTTTTTTTTATTTTGATATAATAATGGTTTAGTGATACAAGTCTTACTAATTAACCCATAGCTGGAGGAAGAGAGATGGATTCATATCTTTCCCAGGGATATTGACACGTAAGTGAATATAACAAACCCAACAGAAATTGAAACTCAGCTCTTTGATTAATAATTCCAAAACATTATCCATTACATCACTTGCACATTCAAGCTTACAGCACCTGATATTCCCAAACAGTCACTCATCTAAGTACTGACCAGGCTCGACATTGCTTAACTTTGGTGATTATATGGGAACTGGTGTTTAAATGTGATGTGTCTGTATGCCTTAATTATAAAGACTCAGTAGGGATTACCCACATTGGGGAGTAGGTTTTTTAACTGGAATCACCCCAAGTAAGGCAGTAAAGCCACTAAGACACAAGGGGATTACAGAGTGTGGAAGAATTAGGAACAGAAATATTAATAATGAGCAGAAACAGAAGAAGGGATTCAGGAGGACAGTAGATAGCGATTTCACATTGCATTTAAATTTTTGCAGATTAAAGTTTGCTAAAGAGCATGGAGATGAAAGGGAGTTCCACAAGCGAGAAGTGTGAGAGAAGAAACTGTTAGCATAGAATTTATGGCTACATTTAGCCAGCTCAACTGTAAATGGACAAGATCTCGACGCCAGTGTAGTGCTACAATTAAATTCAATGAGAAAAAATATTTAATTAAAAGACCTTGTCGGCTAAACTTAAGGAATCAGCACATATGCTAGGCCACAAAAATTTCCTGAGCTGACCAAGCATAGAAATGAGTACAATATGGGAACCAGTGATAAGGAGAGCCAGAGAAAAACGATAACAACAACAACAAAAAAAAAAAAATTATAATATGAGCTCTGGTAAAAAAAAAAAAAAAAATGCAATGATAACAGCAAAAATTGCAATATGAGCACTGGTAAAAAACGGTTGCTGAAGACATTAGTTTTATAATAACCAGAAATTCATGCACAGATGTCCTCAAGGACACATGGCACAGTAGATAAAGGCATTAGTTAGATCCAGTGACAGGACCCAAAGAGTGTGAGTTCAATACTTGGTGAAGGCAGTGGCGAACTTGAAGAGGGGAATTAACAGGAGATAACTGATAACTGACATCCATTAAACATGGCACATGGAACTAGAACAGTCTACCCCGGTGAGTGAAATAAAGGGTTCTGTTCGACATTTCAACCACCTGAAGAAGACCGGAGTGTACAAAGGCCGAAATGTTGTAATAAATATGGCGACAAAGATGAGGACAATAGTCTGAATAATGTAAATAGTGTAATTAATTAATATTAAAGTATTTGAGAAGTTGCCTGCTGCCTCAGTGTAAACCAACTCTTGATTGTGACAGAACAAAATCAACGTCTTTATATGATTTATACTTATGTAAAATAAATAAGTAATTAGCAAAGAAAGTGAAATAATTTTTGTTTTCTTTACTGTTTTCTATTGTTCAAATTTGGTTGGAGAAGGAAACAGTAAAAAGCTGAAGCTATTTATAGTAAGTTAACCAGATCCTTTTTCTTCTGTTCTTTGATAACAAAAACAAAAAGAAAAGCTGAATACAATATTTAAAAGAATAGAAAATGGAAGAGATCAGTCTTTTAATGGAACCTCAAAGAGAGATAACTTTCCATTTGTTTTGTTTTTCTGGAATATCATTGCCAAAAATCTAGAAATACAAAGAAAACCCAAAAGTAAAAGTAGAAATGTTCTGTGGTTTCCATCAAGTAATAAAGAAAAGTATTTCTTCAAACACAAAACAAGCCTTCAGCCTTTCCAAATGGAATGTGGGAGAAAAAAAAAGAAATTAGAGTAGTTGATTTTTATGGGTTCGCTTGCTATAATTGTATATTATGGAGGATTTTGTTATTTGGGATTAAAGATAGAAAAAAAAGCATAAAATCTATGATATTTGTTTAAGCATTGAAAAATGCACCACAGGGTGTCAGGAATTTTCATAATTCATTACTGAATATTTTGTTCTCAAGAAAGAAAATACCTGCTAGAATTAAAAGAAAAAATTCAACTTGTATGAAATTTACTAATGTCATTTTTCGAATATGTATTTATTTTTCTCCATAACAGATTATTATTGAGGAAATTATAAATTTTGCCTAATTAAAATTGTTTATTAGAAAACAAGTGACTTTGTTTTATTACGACATTCAAGATCTTATAATGAAGATGAAAAGTTACCCAACATGAATTTATGAAGTAGAAGAATTAAAAAAGAACAAAAGCCGCAAATGGGAATTTTGTACAGCATTATTGATTCATGGTTTGAAGCTTAATGTTGTTTATTCCTTTCTAATGCTGTCCAATCCATAATAATATTTATCAATCATTTATAATGCTGCTCATTACTTTATATTACTGCATAATAATATAGTTTAACCATTTTAATGTTTATTTCTTTATAATGCTGTTCAGTCCATTATCATTCTGTTCATTATTTATAATGTTCAATATTTTATAATGTCGCTCATTAATTTATAATGCTAATTATTCCTTTATAAATTTAATCAATTTATTATAGTACTGTTTATTCATTTATAATGCTGCTCACTACTTTTAAAGTTATTTATATCTTTATAATGCTGTTCAATCTTTTATAATGCTGTGTATTTCTTTATAAGATTTTTTATTCACTTATAATGCAGTTCAATCATTAATAATATAGACTATTCCATTCTAATGCTATTTAATCCCCTATAATGTTTCCCATTACTTTATAATGATTTTACTACCTTATAATGTTACTTGTTCATTTATAATCTTGTTTCATCCTTTAAAAATCTGTGTACTTCTTTATAATGTTGTTTATTTAGACGTTTATTTGTAATATAGTTCAGTAATTAATATTGCCATTTATTCCTTTATAATACTGTTCAGTCTATTACCCCATTATTTATTCATTTATGATTCTGCTCATTAACTTGTAACTAACTTGTTTTATTGTGTTATAATGTTGTTTATTACATTATAATGCAGCTCATTCCTATATAACAGTGTTCAATCATTGATAATGCTGTTTATTTCTTGGTAATATTGTTCAATTCTTTATATATTCCTTTAATACCCTGTTCAATCTCAATAATGCTGCTTATTTCTTGATAATGTTGATCATTTATTTATGATGTTTATTCATTTATAATGTCCTCAAGAGGAGGCACGGTGGAGTAATGGATAGCAGCTCGGATTGATGAATCAGAGATCCAAGTTCGAATTCCAGTCAAATCCATTACATTCATTTACATGCTTTGGGAAAAGTATGAATCCACTTCTTCTCCCACTAGCTATGGGTAAATAGCAGGACAGACCAGGTTCTATAGCCTTGGATGGCAACTGGTCTACTGCAGGAAAAAATCTGCCTGGTCAGTTATGTATCAAAAGATATATGATTATCTAAGCATGTATCATGTATGGCACATAACTAACTGACTGAATGTCCTCAATTTCTTACAATGTTGTTTAAAAATTTAGATAGCTGTTATAATCTTGTTAATTCATTGCTGATTTAATTCAATCTTTTATAATAATTATTTATTCATTCATTTATTATGCTGTCTAAACATTTATAATGTTTTTTTATTCATTTATAATTTTGTTCAGTTCTTTATAATGTTGTTTAAGCCATGATAATGTAATCCACAATAATGTTGGTGTACTCTTCATGCAATGTGTCTTCAGGTCTTTGAACCTGTTGGAAGCCAGCCCTCTCCAGGAGTAAATAAATTCCAAGTTGGGAACTGTTGATATTGGGAAGGTTGCTGATGGAAATAAGATAAATTAGCTTCAAGGTTAGAGCAGTGGGACATCCAGATTAATGTAAAAGGATCTAGATTAACAGCTGTTTAGCATGACTTTCATTACAAGGTTTGTTAAGAAAGATTGAATCAAATAAAAAGTTCAGCCTGAGACAACATAGCCCTTCAGCTCATGAAGAAGGCCAGCATACCAAACTCTGAAAACACCTACAGGATATCTAGCCACAGCTTGAGCTTCAACATTCTTATATAAAGCTTGGCATTCTCTTTTGGTAATAATAGTTACCATATCGGCAGTTGACCTAGAGAAAAGAAAGCTATCATGTTTGTTTGTAAGAAGGCCATGCAAAGTGGAATGCTTTCATTAGAGTCTCTGATACTCTGCCAAAAAGTGGTAGAAAACTGATAGGACAATAATTCGCGGGATCAGAAAATTCACTAGAATTCTTAAAGGCAGGAACTACAGAAGAAGATTTCAAGGCAAGAAGTAGCAAGGCATTTGTTGTAGAACTTAATCCTTTATAATGTTTTTTTTTTCTTGATAATGTTTTTCAGTCAAGTATTGTGCTGTTTATTCATTTATAATGCTGTTCAATACTATATAAACCTGTTTATTTTATGTAATGTTGTTTTAAATTTTATAATAGAGTTTATTCATTTGCAATGCTGTTCATTACTTTATAATTCTGTTCATTACTTTATAATGCTGTTCATTACTTTATAATCATGTTTAAGTCTTTATGATATTGTTTATTCCATTATAATGTTGTTTACTGCATTATAATGTTGTTTATTGCATTATAATGTTGTTTATTCCATTATAATGTTGTTCAACCCATAATAATATTTGCTTATTTATTTATCATTCTGTTCAGTTATTTATAGTTTTACACATTAATGTATAGTGCTGTGCAGACTTTCATGAAGCTGCTTATTCCTTGTTATTGTTGTTCAGTTTTTTATTATTTTCTTTATTTATTTATAATTTTGTTCAATCTCTTAGAATACTTTCTAAATCTTGATAATGTTATTCATTACTTTATAATGCTGGTTATTCATTTATAATTCTGATTAATGTTTAATAATGTTGCCTATTATACTGTTATTCTTTTTATTGTTATTTTTACAATGCTGTTTTTTCATGATAATGTTCATTAAACTTTATAATACTGTTTATACATTTATAATATTATTCAATCCTTTATAATGGTTATATACTGCTAAACTATTTTTAAAGTGATATTTATCATAATCATATAATGAAGGTTTTTATTTCTTTTTACTTACTCTTGATTTTTATTTCTGAAATCTTTGAAAATATCCCCTATGAATAAGTGGCAACAACTCTATATTATGTGAGATTTAATTATGCAAGTCAATATTTTAAGATAAAATTAACATTGACCAACTTATTTTGATGAAACTTTTCAATATCTGTCTATATTGCTGAGATGAGGTATTATGTACATTATTTACATTATTCGGACTATCATCCTCATCTTTGTTGCCATATTTATTACATTTCGGCCTTTGTATGCTCCGGCCTTCTTCAGGTGGTTGAAATGTCGAACTGAACACTTTATTTTGCTCACTGGAGTAGACTGTTCTAGTTCCACGTTCAATGGATGTCAGTTGTCATTTATCTCCTGTTAATTCCCCTCTTCAAGTTCTCCACTGCCTCATTTCCTCCCACCTATTCACATAAAACTGTTACCTACTGTTTTTTTTACTTTTCACATCTTTAATATGCCCTGTGAGTGCTAAATTCTCCAGACTCTTGCTCCTTATTATGCGTCCCAGAGATTGCAGCTGTCCCTTTCTGATTTTAAATATCAGTTTCCTTCATCCTATTTTCATTAAAATTCCCTTGTGATCACAAGTTCTGTCTATGGCATTCTCAGCATCCTTCTGTAGAACCACACATCGCTGTTGCTTCAAATCACTTCTTTTACTGTAAAGGGATTCTCCAGCATTCCCTGTCATATAATATATTAAATACTAGCAGGCTTTGCCCACTCACTATCACTTTGCAAAGTACTTGAAAACAAAAATTTTAAATGAAAATTTCATTCATAAATTGTCTTGTTATAGTTAAGGAAAGTTTTACAAATAGATGCCAACTTGTTGAAGGCCAAGGTTGAATATTTGATATAATGAATATTGAGTGCAGCAAGCTTAATTTGACTGTCATTTTAAAGAATTTATTATGACAGTAATAATGATGTAGTTATATTAAGCATTTGGTTGTGAGAGAAAGGAATAACAAGGATTAGATTTTAAACAATATTTGTTATCTGTCTATATTTCTGAGATGAGGTATTATGTACACTATTTACATTATTTGGACTATTGTCCTCATCTTTGTTGCCATATTTATTACAACGTTTCGGCCACTGTACACTCCGGCCTTCTTCAGGTGGTTGGGTTGAACCCTTTATTTTGTTCACTGGGGTGGACTGTTCTAGTTCTACATGCCATGTTTAATGGATTTCAGTTATCAATTATCTCCTGTTAATTCCCCTCTCCAAGTTCTCCACTGCCTTAACTGGGTATTGTGTTCAGTCTACCCCAGTGAGCGAAATAAAGGGTTCAGTTCAACATTCCAACTACCTGAAGAAGGCCGGAGCATACAATGGCTGAAAAATTGTAATAAATATGGTGACAGAGATGAGGACAATAGTCCAAATAATATAAATAGTGTACAATATTTATTGTTAGTATATACAGTGTAGTACAGATATTGCAAAATAGGTGGAATGTCCATTTCTGGTGTATTGTTAGGATGGTGATCAGGGCTAAGAGAAAAGACAGGGGTTGATCTATTTCTTGTTCTAACCTGACTGAGGTCACAGGATACGGTCTGTTTACATGCTAGTTGATCAAGGTCATGAAGGTGGGTTGATCTCATTGGTTGGTAGCCCTGTTCTATGGAACAGGGCCACAGGGATGACTTCAAGCAAGGGAATGCCTTGTATGTGTTGATTATGCCGAGGTAATGGCATATTACAAAATGATGATAAAGTATCAAATATTATTTAGAGCAACAAAAGAAAGAAATCTGTGGAGAGCCATGACCATTCACATCTTAAAAGGACACGGAAGATAAAAGAAGAAAGTCTTAAGAGTTTCATTGTTATTAGTGAGTGCCTGGTTGACAACAGCCTTTAGCAATCAAATTGACAGCTGGTTGACAATCAATATCCTACCATTTTATTCTCTCTTCTTATCTCAACTTGGATTCATCCTTGACAAATTTGATGTTTTCTTTTTTTTTTTTTCATTCCTCCATTTGCAGATGAACAAATTCTTTTCTTCTTTCTTGCAGTTTTCTTATTAAAGAAACAAGATCGTCATGTGCTTTATATCCAGTCACAAATTCCATGATGTTTCCTATACAGAACATGATAAAATGGGATGAAATGGAAGATGAAGATTGTTACAAAAATCTTCCAGTTGGGGAACCCTTGTCTACTTATAAATTCTGGCTTTTAGCTGAGTGAGATTATTAACCACAGGCATGACTTGTGAGTAGTGTGCAAGATTGTGCTGCACCAATCTTCCATTTAGAACATAAGCATTTTCTGCCAAGAAAATAAGCATCTGAGGTTCAGCTTTTTGTCTGGATTTGAACACAGACTCCAGAGAAATATGTAACATTTTAATCACAAGTTTCCCATTAAAACTTTATTTTTGATCACATGGTATTCCCAGCATCCTTCTGTAGAACCACATCTCTGTTGCTTCAAATATCTTTTTTATCTTTAAAAGGATTCTCCAAAATTCACTGCCAGATAATATATTAAATGTTACATAACAATCCAACACACATAATGATTATAGAAAGATTACTTTTACTGTTATTCTAAATACTTAACTGAAGAAAATAAAAATATATTTATTAATGCTAAAGACAATATAAAATATTTACCTGTCATATGATTTTAATGGATGAAAAATGTTCTTTCTGGATGATGTACTTTTTCTGTTGCTTTTCAAAAGGTCAGACAGTCCATTTATTTTGTCAGTTCTTTTTCACTTGAAAAGTTTTCTTTCCATCAAAGTTGCATTTATTTTGATCGTTCTCTTTAGTTTCATGTTTTTTATTTGACTTGAGAGTTTGCTTTACTTTGACAGTTCTCTTTAACTTGAACAATTCACTTTAGTTTAACATTTCTCTTTGGTTTGACAGTTCTCCTTTGTTGGACAATTCTCTTTATTTTGATAGTTCTTCTTCATTTAACAGTTCTCCTTGGTTAAGTTCTCTTTATTTTGAGTTTGGTTTGACAGTTGTCTTTAGTTAAGCAGTTTTCTTTCACATGATGCTACTGTTAAGTTTGACATTTGTCCTTGATTTGACAGTTTCCTTTTGTGTCACATTTCTCTTTATTTTGACAGTTCTCTTTAACTTTAACAGTTCTCTTTAGTTTGACATTCCTTTTTGGCTTGACAGTTCCCTTTATTTTGACAGTTCTCTTTGACTTGAAAAGTTCTCTTTAGTTTTAGATATTTCTTTGGTTTAACAGTTCTCCTTTGTTTGACAATTCTTTTTATTTTGACACTTCACCTTGAGTTGACAGTTCTCTTTAGTTTGACGTTTCTTTTTGGTTTAACTGTTCCCTGTATTTTCACAGTTCTCTTTGACTTGAAAAGTTCTCTTTAGTTTTACATATCTCTTTCCTTTGACAATTCTCCTTTGACAATTTTCTTTATTTTAACAATTCTTCTTGAGTTAGCAGTTCTCCTTGATCAAATTCACTTTATTTTAAGCGTTCTCCTTGGTTTGACAGTTGTCTTTAGTTAAGCAGTTTTCTTTTGTTTGTTTTCTCTTTTGTTTGACATTTCTACATCAGATTTTTTCTACACCTCTGTTTCTCATTCCATAAGAGATTTTTTTTTGAATACAGTTGGATAATATTCATTTTTGTAAGATCCTTTAAAACCAACTTTCCATTCATCATAGTCTTCCCTAAAATTTGACTGATTTCATGATTAATGAACAACTGAGGAAACTTGAAAGACAGTTGTAAGATTTCCCTAACAATTGCCACACATATGGGGCTGAGAACATTTGGAAATTAACATTTTAAAGTTGACAGAATATAATTTAATACCACCACAACTGCGTTAACAACAAAGCCCTCCTGAGCTTATGACGCTGGGGTAGAAATGGTTTTGTGTCCAAAATACATATGTATACTAAAAATGTTTCTAAAATCAGATTTTTTATATTTTTTCACATTACTTTATTTAAAATGGAAATTTTGCTTTCTTGCTATCAAAACTCATAAAAATAATCATTGTTTACTTGTTTGTCTTTTAGTCTGCTTGCATCTATCTATCTATCTATCTAAATCAGCCCATTATGTTAATATTCAAACTCTACTGGAAAACAAATCTTCTTTATTAAGACAATCAAATACACAGACTAAGACACATAGATTTACACAGTTTATAAAAAAGGGATATTTATTCAAATATATATATCCATGAAATATAATGTTTAAATAAAAAAAATTATCTATCTATCTATCTAGCTAGCTTTCTATCTATATATATTTTAATATATTTTGTTATACATTATTTATATAGACACAAATATTTAAGTAAATGCTCTGTTTATAATAAGCAGTATTAGCAACATTTGCTTTATTTATTTGTGTTTATATAATTAACGTATAACAATAACATATATTAAAATAATTGTTGGACTTTGTCCATTTCGTAATGTGTGACTATCTATCTATCTGTCTATCTATCTATCTATCTATCTATTTATTTATCTATCTATCCACTTCATATCTATCTATCTATCTATCTACCCATCCTGTTCATTATCTATCTATCCTGTTCATATCTATCTATCTATTCTATTCATATCTATCTATCTATCTTGTTCATATCTATCTATCTATCTATCTATTCTATTCTATTCATATCTATCTATCTCTCTATTCTATACATATCTATCTATCTATCTCTCTATCTATTCTATTCATATCTATCTATCTCTCTATTCTATTCATATCTATCTATCTATCTATTCTATTCATATCTATCTATGTATCTATCTATCTATCTATCTATCTATCTATCTATACTGTTCATATCTATCTATCTATCCTGTTCATATCTATCTATCTATCCATCTATCTTCTTCATATCTACCTATCTATCTATCTTTCTATCCTGTTCATATCTATCTATCTACCTATCTTTCTATCTAAATATGTTCCTTTCTGTCTATCTTTGTATCTGTCAGTGGCAGAAAAAAAAACACTTCTCTTTTCTATTCATTCTTATTTCAATGCGTTTGCATCTGTTAAGCAGAAATTCATACAAAACATACAAAAGCAACCAGTAGCATTAATTTTCTTTGTCCATTTGTCTTCATGTCTCTTTATTCTGCTCATTTCTTAGCAAAGCATCAGGCATTCAACAACTGTCAAGACCATGAAAAAATGAATAGACTGAACGTTTGGGTAAATAAAAATGCTAGCAAACGTTTGTACAGAGAAAGGGTTTGATGAAAAAGCTGCTTGAGGAGCATCCCAAAATTTACCTACAGCCAGCAGGGTTACTAGTTTGCCAAGATCGAAATAAGAAAACAATTATGACAAATCGATGTATGTATATTGGTATCAATCTATCTCTCTGCTTACTTACATCTGTTCAAATGGATAAATGTATGTGTATAAATACATATGTGTTATACATATATATATATGTAGGTAGGTATTGATCAATCAATCTCTTTATCTATTTCACTCTGTTCATATATATATGTCTCTATATGATTGGTATTTTTATGACTTATCAACCTTTTGAAGGTTATTTAAAGCCAGATAATGCTTTTAGGTTGTCATTCTTTTTTTTTTTTTGGATAATAATGATTTAGTGACACATCCTACTAATTAACCAATAGCTAGGGGGTATGAGGTGGATTCACACCTTTCTTAAGGTTATTTTTACATGAATGAATATAACAAAGTCAGTGGGAATTGGAACTCGGTCTCCAATTTTCGATTCAGAGCTGTTATCAATTACACCAACTACACATTGAAGCTTACAGTACCTGGTACTCACAAATGATTACCCACCTAGCTACTGACCAGGTTGAACTTTGCTTAACTTTGGTGAGTGTAGAAGAACCTGGGTTTCAACATCATATGGTTGCAAGCCTGTATGTATATATGTTGGTAGGTGGGTAAGTATATAAAAAGGAAAGTAGATATATATCTTTGATCTATTTGAATCTGTTTGCATCTATGTTCAGTATATATCTATGTATCTATCTATCTATCTATCTATCTGCAACCACGAATGGATAGCTGCTCTAGCAGACAGGTGTGCTTGCTCAGAAACAAGTAGAATGACCATCATATATATATATATATATATATATATATATATATATATATATATATATATTATATTCAAAAAAATTATAAGATAAATATGTTATAAAATTACTACAAAAATAGCCATTTTTGTTTCAACATTTCTCATCAAGTGATGGTGTTGTTCTACATTCAACAAATGTTGACATAAAAACATATTCATAGAGTTTTGCATTAATGAGATACCCAAAACCGATCCCCTAACTCTTCAAATATTGTCATATATATATATATATATATATATATAAATAAATGAAGAAATAATTCTAATCCCTATAGTGGAATTTTCCCATATTTAGCTACCCTTACCCTTACTCGTCTACCCCCTCTAAAGCCGTTAGTACTATATTGATTATAATTTATAAACCTTACATTAATCCCCTAAATTCTCCTTACCTCTAACTTCTTTTAAATTTAATTTTGGGTTCATTCTTAATTTCTATTTTAATTTTACATTTAGGTTAAAATCTTGTTCTTTATTCTCATACTCCCACTTGTCATCATAAGGTTAATGTTCTCGGCTTTCCATAATAAAACCTCTCAGCCTTAAGAAAAACACCTATCACCCTCTTTAACCACTGCCTTGTGCCTAGCATCCCACTGAAACAGTGAAAAGTATAACTCTGTATTAAGGGCTACCAGCAAGTTAAGGTTCAGCTTCCAATAACAATTCCTCACAGCTACCTCTTCCACGCATTCCACTTCATCATGAATTTCATTCCATACCGGGGCTGAAAAGACAGATGAACACTGTTGTTGTCTGCCAAGATAGTCTATCCCCCATATGAGGTAAAAGGATTTGTTTGATCATTAATTATATATATATATATATATATATATATATATATATATATATATATATTTTAATTTATATATATATATATATATATATACATATATATAAAAGTGACACTGACATCAAAGCTAAGTGGCAACAGTCTGTTTCATGCTTGAGTGCAAATTTCAGGTCATCTTTCTATGCTTGGTGTTGACCTCAGTGTCCACTTTTATATTTGCATATTCTGTATCTCTGATATTGAGCACTTTTACCTACAAAATATAATGTGCCTTAAAACTATATTTTTCACACAAACACACGCACACACACACACACGTGTGTGCGTGTGTGTCTCTGTGTAAAATTTGTATTTATATAAACATAAATATATATATATATATATATATAAATAAAAAAAAAATTAAAACTACAGACAAAAGTTCATTTTCTCCATCAAGACATTTATTTCTGTAGTTCACTGCTATTAGCAAGCAGAATTTTTCTTTTCTCCTGATGATGGCCATGTTGGCCGAAATTAGTTGAGAAATCTGGCTAAAAGAAAAATAAAAACAAAAGAATACAACCTAATGTGTCTGAAGATTTTAATTTTTAATATTTTTTATTGTTCAAAAGTCAAAACATATATATATAATTTTTATATATATTATTTATATATTATATATGTGCAGTACTTATTGGAAAGTGCTCAATATCGGTGATAGAGCTAACATATTTAGTTAGATTGATGCGAGTTTGTGACCCTGGGTTTCACGCTATCTGCGATTGTCAGAGAAACCTTTGGTTTGATCCACTGCCAATGAACATAATTACCTAAGTAGACCTTACATGTTTAGGGTCACAAGCTCACATATCCAACTAAATATATATATATATATATATATATGTGTGTGTGTGTGTCTGTGTGTATGGGTGTGTGTACATGAAAACTGAGATATATATAAAACTAAAAATATATCTTTAAAAACAATATAAATAAAAGGAAAGATGAGAACTTTTTATTTCATCGCATTTTGTTTCTTAAAGAACACTATCAAGACAAGAGTAAGAATTTTACTTGGTAATCAGCATTTAATACAGAAGTACTGGGGAGAAAAAAATTATCATTAAGTTTTTAAAATTAGAATTAGAGATGGCTCTAAAATATTACTTACTGTGTAAAGGAGTGGAAAACTATAGATGTTGCTAAGTGGCATAATTTTTTGCCTATTAAACAAAAGTGGGTTAATGTTGTTGTTATTGATTTTATGTATTTTTTTTATTTTGTAAACCCAAATCTTATTTGATTGCTTTAAGAAACTCTTACTAGGAAACGAACAAACAAATAAATTCTTTGTCTTTATTTTTGTTTATAATGAGATCGTTATTATTTGTTATATCTAATTTTTGTGTTGTATTTCAAAAGCTCTCTTTTTTGTTGTATATTTACCTGAGAATATCTTTTTTTTGTGTGTAAGTATCCATTTTTTTTTTTGGTGCCTTACTCCTGCAATGCAATGTTCTGTTATTTAGTCTTCTTCTCATAAGATTTCTCTGTGACCATGACATTCTTCTATCTTTTATGTTCAACAAAATCTGCTGCATATCTCATTTCTTGCCTTCACTTTCTACTTTCAATTTGTCCTCATTATTTTTCCGATATCTTTGGTCTTCCTTCATAGGCCTTCACAATTTTCACATCTCTCTTATCAATATTAGTGTTTTATTATTATTGATGTTGTTGTTATTTCTATTGTAACAGCAGCCATTTTTATTGTTTTTACTTTTAAGTCGTTCAAAGGCAAGTATATATACGGGGAGAGGGAAAGAGAAAAAATGAGCCTGTTTAAAAAAATGACATACAAAAGGAAGATCATAATATTTCATAATTTCTTGAAATGGTGAGTTAGTTCTCATTCAACAAAAGGCAAACAGAAAATACTCAAAAGATGATGTTGTAAAAAAAATTCCGTTGAAAAAAAAACAAAAACAATATGGCTGTCACAGCAAGCAGATAAAGAGAGAGAAAAAAATTCATGTTTGAAAGGGAAAATATACAGAGAGGATTGAATGATTTGGATGTTGTTGGAGTTTTGTTATTTTTCTTTATGTTTTCTTTCTTTCATGTGTTTTTCAATCGGAGAAAGATCATCATATCTTTTAGATGAAAGGAATAGAAAATATTTTCTGTGGTTAGAGGCAAGGGGTTATTAAAACAGCATAAAAAAGATGTGTTCTTTGAATGTATTGAGCCATTTCTTTTAGAAGTCATCCTTCACAAACATGTGTTAAGTTTTTTTTTTCCTCTTTTTCTTTTTAATTCTACAACTGAACTTTAGGAAGAATAAAAAAAATACCAGTTTTGAAAATCAAAGCAATACAAAAAAGTAAAAAAAAAATACTCTGTAATAAATAATGATATACTCATATGTAAGGAATTAAAGTTGATATATAATATTTAAATAAGAAACTATTTTAAGTAAACAAATAAAGGGAAGATAAAGGAACATTAAATAATAGTAACATAAAATTACAGTATAACAATAATAATGGTATGGACTGAAAAAAAAAACTGAAAAATACTATGATCTGGCTAGGGAGCTAAAGATATGATGAAACTCTATTAATCACCACAGAGATCCTTCCCTGCCCTCCATTAGAATGTCTGACACTCAACTTCTCGAGAGCAACTCTCTGCGGCTGCTTGGTCTCACGTTGACGGCTGACCTGAGATGGAACAAATACATTGAGTCAATTGCTTCGTCCATGGCAAGGAAAGTTGGCTCCCTGTGCCACGCCAGGAAATTTTTCTCCCCAGAATCGATCCTCCAGATCTACAAATCAACAATTCGCCCTTGTATGGAGTATTGCTGTCATATATGGTCTGGAGCCCCTTCTGTTTGCCTTGGGGTTCTTGATAGGCTCTAGAGGCGGATATGCAATATAATTGGCCCTGCTCTGGAATCTCGTCTACAGTCACTTTCTCACAGATGCGCCGTCGCCTCTCTCTGTCTGTTTTACAAATACTTTCATGGCAATTACTCCGAGGAGCTGCATTCGTTCCCAGACTTCATGAGTTCAAGCGCCCTACGAGGCTGGCATCCCGTTCTCACCCCTTCACTGGTGAAAACTCCTAAATGTAGCCGTCTCTTCTACTCCAATAGCTTCATGTCTCGCACCTCTCGTCTGTGGAACTCCCTTCCCTATTCCAGTTTCCCTGAGAGCTATAATCTCCAGCTATTCAAATGTAATGTCAATCGATATCTCCAGTTGCCTTGATCTATCCACTACCCTTCTCCTCATCCTTTCTTCTATCACTCCTATCTGATCTTGCTCTAAATTTTCTGTAACCCCTTGCGTCCTAGTGGCTTCTCGCCTTGCTTGGGGTGTAACGCTTAAAAAACAAAACAAAAAAAACATGAATGTAGAACTAATTGAAATATTAAGAAAGAAAAAAATATTCTTAAAAACAAAGTGTACTGAACTATTATATAATATCAGTCCTCCAATATAGCTGGATAATCTCCTAACAGATGAAGCAATAGAAATGTGGTTCTACAGAAGGATGCTGAGAATACCATGGACTGAACATGTGAGCAATGACGAAGTTCTAGAGACAATGGAAACAAAAATGCTACTTAACATCAAGAAGAGAACATTGAAATTTCTCGGGCACATAATGAGGAAAGAGGGTTAAGAAAATTTGATACTCAAAGGACATATTGAAGGGAGAGAGGAAAACAGAGCATAACCTACTTGGCAAGATTAAGTGAATGGACGATAGAACAGGGTTTAAGAGAGAAAAAGACAAAATTTATTGAGAGCTAGTGAACAGGAAATTGTAGTGAGTCACGATTACCAATGTCATGAAAGGACACAGCTGACAAAGAAGAAAAAAGACAGTTTAAAATGGGGAAGTGTAAAATTATAGTCAATGAAGAGAGTGGAAGTTATCCCCATTGTGGTTGGTGTTCTGGACATACTGAAGACCTGAAGTGGCTGGAATAGATTGGGGTCAATATCAAGATTGGAACCTTACAGAAGACTGCACATCTTGGGACTGTTCATAAAACCCAAAGAGTTGTTGAATCATGATGATATGCAACAACAGTCTACTGGTACTTTGGTTCAATCTCCTCAGAATTTGTTGTGTCTG